TCGCCTGGATGGCTCTATAGAAATCTGGCACCCGACTGAACAAAGTTAAACTGACAGAGCGTGCATTCACAGACACGAGAATGAAGGTTAGAGCCAGACCGATTTATTGGCAGGCCGATATTAGGCATTTTCCAAACTATCGGTATCGGCAGTTATAATGGCTGATAAATGAATATTTCAAAAATAAAATAAAAACGGACGAAACACGCTTCAACCATGTCATGAGTGTTGGAGTTGTATAGTTTGTCCACTAGAGGGCACTCTACACCATCCCTGTTGGCAACACTCGTGTATAACGCGCCACACATCCTGCAACCTGCTGATCCAGTTTGCAGGTAGCTTATAAGGCAATGTAGGGACTAATTATTATTTTATTTATCAGAACTTTAATATATTTTGATGTTCATCTGTTCTGTTGTAACAATAAAAGAAACAAGTTTCTTTTTAAAATGCATTATCATTATTTTAGTTAAAACTCTTAAATAACTACAAATAACTAATGTTAGGGAAATCTGTTAATGTTTTGTTGCGCTTTTCTGAAATAAAAATAAAAATAAAAAAATATCGGCCGATATATCGGATTTTAAAACCAACAAATATTTGTATCGCTATCGGCCTTCAAAATCCTTTATCGGTCGGGCTCTATTTCACAGTAACATTCATCAGGCAGTGATACAGTACGCTAAGTTCACGTTCGTCCAAAATATGAATGAGTTCATGAACTATCGTTCAATGAACGCGTTCAGGCACAACATTGCTTATGGCTTAGCTCAAGTGAGTGACATATGTTTGCCGAGAGTGCCGAAAAGCTTTAAAGAAAAGAAAAGGCGGAAAGCCCTAATATGGAGATGGTTCGCTTATACTCCAAATTTACTAACATTAGAACGAGATTAAAGGTGCTGTTAGAAACTTTTTGACAATACTACAGCCAGTTATTTTACGTGTGCGTTCCGTGTCAGAATGTCTGTTTTTGTTTTGGCCTGTGTGATACCGCCCACTGCCAATTTAGCCAATAGTATTTCGACACCCCGGGATGCCAGTTATTGGAAAACACAAGCCATGTTATACGCCTGAACACTTTGAATCCATTCGCGCATCAAGAGCGAAATTGACGCGTGTAAAAACAAAAGTTTGAAGCGAAATTTACGCACGTTGGAATCGAAACCCGTTGGCGGTCATCATTTTTATGTTGATCGAGCATTCACCAAGAGAGTCACCGCTCTGTATTTGCTCTGGAGAGCAGAAGACCAGCGTGGGGATCATTGTTGTCGTAACTGTGTAATTGTCATATTACAAAATAATTTATTGAAGCATCGAGACCTAGCAGAAAGCAGCTAGGCTCCTGATTGGTTAACGCGGCGCGAATTGACGCCAAAGTTCAGATTTTGCACAAATAGCACTAACTAAATAATTCGCGCTTAACGTGCCAGACGGTCAATTCGTGCGAACTTGACGAGCGAATGAGGCGTGTTCGCGTCTACCGCGCCTCGCTATATGCCTCATTCGCGCCTCAGGAAATTTTTACGCGCGTAACGCATCTTTGTATTGACTTTACATTGAAATCACTCGCACCTGACGCGCTATTCGCGTCCGGTGTGAACGCACCACGAGGAGGAGGGGCTGGGGGAAACAACCATTTAGAATTTAAACTGCAGTACCAATATCAAACCGCTTGCTGTCAATCTTACATACTGCACCTTTAAGAACAAATTGATGGGCGTGGATATTTTTTTTGTGAGAATTTCTCCTGTGCGCACAATTAGGAAATAATCGACGTAATCATTAGCGAATGAGACCCAATGTTATTCCGCAAAACACATGCAGTTTATTTTTTTTAACCGCTATAGGGACAACTTACATTTTGTAGCTTTGATGAGGAAAACCTTCAGAAACTTTGGCACTGAGAAGCCAAAGCAATTAGATGATTCAGTCCTATAATAAATCATAGCTCCCATCCATGATGTAAAATATTATGCATCATAATAATGATTCAACTACTTACGGGGTCTGTGGCACAAAGCCCAGACTCTGTGTTTGATGGACAGGAATAAAACGGTAAGGTAACGGGAGAGAACAGCTTTAGTGTCAGCATTCAACAAAATCAGGTCTTTCATCCCTATAGGCTACTGTATATCACCTCCTCCCACAGCACAACCTTTCTCTTCTCTTTAAAACACCATACAGTCTCTGGAAACAATGGAACGTGGAGATAGGGTGCTAGTTTTATCCCTATGAAATATTGAAGCAAAATCGATTCCCGTTTTGCGCGGTGGGTTTTCCGCACATCATCGAAAGCTGTAAACGTTGCGCTTTGCAGATTGCGACGTGACCTCCACGTGCAGCTCAAAGCGAAGTACACATACAGTACCTCAGTCATTTCAATTGATTCCCTCCCTTCTTAACTCCCTTATTCCTTTAGATGTCTTCACTGGGCATCGGCTGAAGTGGGAACAAAGTGTTCCACAAGGCCATATTATTTTTTATCCCTTTTTTATTCCAAGAAAGGTTTCGCTGTCTTAACTATGCATTTATTCCAACATCAGCGTGCAGACTCTCAATTGCATTTCAAAGCCCCCTTGTAAAGATTTACCGTAGCTCAGGTAACGGCATCACTGATTAGGTGTGTGTGTGTGACTGTGTGTGTGTACGTGCGATCTTTAATCACTTGCTTCCCACTGGGCAATTACAAAGCACATGACTGTAAAACAAACAAACGCTGCCTGTTAGCCGTAAGCATTTACACAAGAACAAAAGGCTGTGTGCAGAAGGAACATGCACATCACTGCTGCAATTCATGGCTTGTGGTGTATGATTGACAGCGGTTCCTTTTTAAGTGGAAGACAGTCATCATTGACAATGTCAAAGCTACAGTCTGTTGCTAGGCACAGTCACTATGTGCTGTATGACATGTTACTATTCTTAGACATTACATAATAAAACAAAGAAGTGAAGTAAAAGAGAAGAGAAGCAAAATAAAGAGTCATTAACACAGTCTGGTTTTATTTACAGTCGTTTTTTTTTTTTTTTTTAAAGAAACAGAAATAGAAAAGGCCTATCTAATCAAAACTCAGCACTGAATCCAATGAAAACAACCTGGAAAACGGCTTAAAGCATCTAGTGTCATTTGTTTTAGAATACCATAATGGACCATTGAATTAACGAGAATGGTTGAGCTACTCTTACACAGTATATCGTCAAATAAAATCTATAGTTTTGAATTCGTTCGAACCACTTCACACAGAATTTAAACTAGTTTCTAAATCTTTTTTCTTTTTTTATTTACAGTTTTGGTTAGAGCATTGTCGTTGTGACATCACATCCACTCCTGGGTAGAAATATCATGCAAGATTTTTTTTTTTTTTTTTTGGAGGATATTCATTTTCAATCAGGTTTCTTTCAGCTCAATTATTATGATAGTCAAATTTTATATTAGCATCTTCAATGCAGGGTAAATCTCACAAGTTTAGAATGTGCCTTGCAAGTATATTGAGAACCAGAACTTTTTTTTTTCATTTGCTTTAACTTTGCCCTGTTTATTCATTATAATATAGTCTAATCAAGCACCATGTTGAATCAGGATTTATTTACATATGTCTTAAAAATCACTCATACAGCAGCCAGACTGATGCAAGATGCTAATCTTTGAGTTTAGGCAACCACAATCCTCCAAACAACAAAAGTTATAAGGGCGAATCTCTTGAAAACATGTCCAGGTCAATATTTCCCCCCAAAATCTCTATAAATAAAATAAAACATGTTCCTAAAAAAGCTTAATTATATTTAGATGTATGTGTATACATCATTACTCCAGTTTTCATTGTCACACGATCCCTCAGAAATCATTCTTATATGCTGATTTATTATCAATGTTGGAACAGTCGTGCTGCTTAATTTTTTTTCAGGATTCTTTGATGAATAAAAAGAAAATTATACTCTTTTTTAGGCAAGGATGTGTTAAATTGATAAAAAAAAGTGACAGTAAATATTTATATTTTGAACAAATGCTGTTCTTATTAATTTTTTATTCATCAATGAATCCTTAAAACAAGTATTACAGGTTCCAAAAAAATTAAGCAGCACAACTGTTTCCAACATTGATCAGCTTATTAGGATCATGTGACACTGAAGACTGGAGTAATGATGCAGAAAGAAATAATTATATTTTAGAGTATATTAAAATAGAAAACGATTATTTTAAATTGTAATAATTTTTCACAATTTTGACGGGTGCTAATAATCTTTGTGCATTAGTAATATAATAAATAATAATATCATTCATGATAAATTAATTCCACATATTAATACAAATAAAATAAAATCTTGTTTTTTATACAGCAAAATATATTCTCTCTATATTTTGATTTTGGGGATGAAATAGTACCTAAATGGATAACACTTTACTTGAAGGGGTGTGCATAAGACTGACATGTCTTGAATGTCTTGGGTTTATGCATGTTTATGACAACTGTTATTAAGTGTCTTTCGCTCAATAATGACATTTTGAATGTAAATATGACATTGTTTAAGATGACAACTTGACATAAACCAATACATCATAACCTGTCAGTGCTTTTTTCATGACAACTTGACATAAAATTAAGTTAAACTGTCATGTGGTTGGCTTTGACATTGGCTGTCATGAGGCCATTATAACTGTTTCAACTACAGTTGTACTAATTGAATTTGTCATTAAAAAGTTATAATGGCTTCATGACATCCAATGTCAAAAAAACTGACAGTTTAATCATGTAATGTTCACCAATAAAGCTAAGTGGTTTCTTAAGTTTGATAATTAATCTGCTCTGTCATGTTTATGACAGGTTGTGTTGTCTTAGTATCAAGTTGACAACTGACACTGTATTGGTTAATGTCAAGGTGTCATAACAAAGACATCTCAAACGATGTCATATTTGCATTAAAAATGTCATAAATGAGCGAATGACAATGCATAAAACTTCCTTCATATTCATAACATATGTCATGATTATGAAGGTGTCTTATGCACACCACTTCAAGTAAAGTGTTACCCCTAAAGGTATGTTTCTGAAAGGTTTTGTGAGATATACCCATAGAGGTTTCCTTTCCTAATGTCATCACACTTGAATCGCATTACCCATTCAAACGTCACTCCACATTGAGTCGGACGCACAAAGACTACAGGGAATTATTTGCCAGTGAGTGGTGCGGCTAAACTATCTTTATTAATTATCAAAGCCACTTAGCTTTGCCAGTGCAGTCCACAAGGGGTTTGATTAAACACAGTTCAGTCAGACCCTCTGTTTATGTACAGCCGTTCTGGGTGAGAGCAGATTGCCATTTATTGGAATGTTCACAGGATGTCATTTCAGGCACTTTCTCTACAAACCACAGATATATATATATATATATATATATATATCAACCCCACACAGTTACTAGAATCAGTTCAAGGGAAGAGATAATATACAGTGGAGAAATGCGTATTTCATCATCCATTATCAGTTAAGGGAGGGGAAATGCGTTATTCAGCTGTGTTTGGCATGGTAGTTTGACCGAAATGAAGACATTTCGCGCTTTCACGCATTATACAAGAGCTACAATATGTGCAGGATTTTAGGCGACTGAAAGTGCAGCACAAAAAGAAACTCGTTCCTTGATATTCATTCAAAAGAAGCCATACAGCGCAGCTAAATCCAGGGGAAACCTCTCACTTAAAAGTTGGGGAACAATTGTCTTTAGAAATTATTTCGAGACTCGATACGCTTGGGTTCCTGCTACTACACAAAACAAAAACCTTTGAACCCAAGTAGACTCCTTCCACACACCTCCTCGTACATCACATCACTAGAAATACTGCATCTCTATCCCTATCCCCCCCTCAATATGTACAAGTATATCGAAAAAGAAAGGCCCACTTACACGGAACAAATTATTAGTCTACTAGAAAAGAGTGAACACTGGCACACATGTTAAAAAAAAAGGCTTAAAATAGAAAGAAGTTACAATTGGTTTTCTATCCGTTATCTTGTTAACAAGACTCAACACCGTCTTAAAAAACAACAATATTCACATGTAACCTTTCGGAGTAAGGACAGCCGCTTACTCCTTCCGAGGTCGGCCTATGTCTAGCTGAAAGATTTTAAATACGCAACAGATTTCAACACCTCATGCAAACAAATACGCCTGAATCCAATGGTGACGTCGAACTGATAAACTCATAAGTCTTTTTTTTTAAGGACTGTCTATTAACTCCAAACAAACAAACAAACAAAAAAAAGAATATCTTTGCAGCTACTGATTTGATTTTTTTTTTTTCTTAACTGTTCTTGGCACTTTCAAGACGAGTACATCCAGGAGAGAGAAGAAAAACTACTTGGGTTGCAATTAAACACCGAAGGTAATCCCAATGCTTGGAATAACCCGTTGTAAACAACTGGAATAATGACTCTCCACTCCATTTACCATTTGAAGGACTGTAGGACTAGATAACTAATATCATACTGACTGGTTAATGAACATTCTTTAAGGATGGATGGATGGATGGATGGATGAATTCCCGTGAAAGTCAGTCGGACACACTGACATTATATCCGTTCGGTCCATTGCACGATTCCAAGTCTTTCTTATTGCAGACAATCTGTTCCTCTGTTTAGACCTGCTAATGGCCGAGAGACGAGAGTCTGCTGAGGGGGTTCGGCCACACGAGGGCTCTCTCGAGCTCTGGAGGAGGAAGGGCTGGGCGCAGACAAAGAAAATCCACTCGCTCGCTCGAGTCTTTGAGGTTAAAGCGTCGCTTCCGTGTTCCTCCGACAGTCCGTAAGACACTATCATGTTAAGACATTTATGTAGAAAGACAAGTTCAAACATCAGTTCATCATTTTGACTGGGTGATAAGGCAGTTATCCCTTTACTTTGACCTGTGAGAGAAGAAAACAAGTGTTAAAGACTGTATAATGATGAAATACAGTGCATGTATATTAAATTGACTGCTTGATTAAGGTCATCTGGGTGAAACAAAGCATTTTTGTGTATACAAAATACAAAAACATTTCTGAATGACACTGCATTTGCTAACAAAAAAATCAAACCAAAAGGCATTGCTATTAACATAACACAGCACATGATTTTGTGTGGCAATTTCATTGTACAGTTTGTTTATATTATAGCATGCAAATGGACCCAGGTTCAAAATCAAATCCCATCATACTATATGATTTTTTTGAGAATTGGACAGATCGGAATTTGAATGATCATTATTCATTCATTCTTTGATATTTTGAGTGGTATGAGTTGCAGGTCTCGACTGGACTTCGACCAGATTTCGACATGAATGGGTGATTTCTGCCACAGCGTATTAGAAAAAAATACACAAAATGTGTGCAACTTCATTTATTATTCAAAACTACATTTGAAATACAATATGTTTTGGAAAAGTGCTCCCTTGGTTAGAATAGGAATGGTGTCTCTGAACACAATCACATCAATACAAAACATTGGATACAGTATTAAATAAAGACAAAAAATGGACACTTGCAGGTTGTCAAATGTCAGTGGAAGATGTGATGTGTATGGGGTTATACCTCAAGCATAATTTGTTTGCAGATGACACTTCATTTTATACTTTGAATCTAAGGCAGTGAAGTTCATACAATAAAGTGCCCGTTTTATAGATATTACCTTTCATGCTGTGTGTAATATCAAAGATCAAAGTTATTGTCTCCTAAAAGAAAGAACCAATTCTGCATTGAATGAAATGAGTTGTCAGTAATTCCTGTCTTAAACCTATGTAGGTTTTGCTTGTAACAAATTTGCATAATGCCTGTCTATGTTCTTTGGCTGGCCTCGAACAACGTCTCCTATGACCCTCAAACACTGTAGTTGTAGCTAAGGCCAGGAAGAGTTTGGTTTTGACATGACGAGAAGTTGCTGCACTGTGGTGTGCAAAAAAAAATCACTTCACGTGAACTCAAATACATACAGTAAAACCAACACCATTTTTACTGTTCGTACACTTTGTTTACAAGCGCTGAGGAAGGCTCAGGAGCTGAAATTCAGATATGGGAATGACTGTCCGACACACGCTGTAAGCAGTAGACCAATCACAGCAGACTAGGCCATCTACCCAATCAGAGCAGAGTATGCTCTCGGGAAGGAGGAGAGAGACGAATCCTTTATCAAACCGTTTCAGATACTGTGAGAAAACAGGCGAACCTGCAAAATTAAAGTTGATGCATCTAAACCTATTGACTCAGGAACCTTTACCGTAGAATAATTGGTTAGATCTGTGTGTTTCGAGCCACTGTAGGCCTATTTGTGTGTATTTTGTTAAAGGAATTCCCTTCTCTCATCATGTCGTCTTGCCCTTCTAACTAATTATTAGCTGTGACCTTTTGCACTTTTCATTATTCTATTCTTCTCCACACTGAATCTTAAAATGCACTAAACAACACACACGCACGCTTTCACAGGAGCACGCGTAGAAAAACCTCCCTGAAATATCAAAATATGGCATCTGCTTGTGTATGGACCTGCCATTCAAAGCACTCCAATGCATTATGGAAAAGTGAGAGTCTGACATTTACAAAGGCAAGAGACTCATGACGTGACATAATGATTTAGTCAGCCGGCCATGTAATAAATACAAAACATTGGCTGAAAGTGAATATTCAGTGCATTTTCACCAAGACACTTTCACCAAATAAGACAAGGGGAGCACCCGTGGGTACAGAGGGGGTGCGGCTTTTTAAGAGAATAATTATTTTTCTCTGTAGTCTTTCTCTGGATTCTGTGTAATCCTCATTAATCCCAATTTTACAGCATCTGTTCCCAGAAGACCAGGACGGAGTTGCATTGTTACACGTCAATGATCTCAAAGCCCATGTAATTGCACCTTTCTGCTGTATACATTGGTGGCAGAAAATGAAAATGCATGGAATTATGAAGCAGCACCCAAAAATATATAATAATAATAATAATAACAACAAATATATTCCACTTGTCAATTACTTTAGCAACACTTTACAATAAAGTTTTATTCGTTAACATTATTTAATGCATTAAAATGAACAGTTATTTTAAATTGCAATAATATTTCACAATATTACTGTATTTTTGATCAAATAAATGAGGCCTAGGTGATTTCTTTCGAAAATTCATTTTTTTTTAACAATATGTGGATTGTCGTAACATGTTTTTTCTGAATTATTTCTTCACAAGCTTCCACAACCTTAATGTAAATTCTTTAGGGACAAACTATAAGTCTGTGTTATTGGTAAACCAACTCAGTCTCTTGCCATATGAATCCATATGGGGTCTCGTTTCTGATCGCATATCACTGGCAGGATTCCATTCAGCTTTTTTTCCCTGTGTCTAGACTGTGGCGCTGGGCAGCTCAGCTGAGCCCTTCCTTCCCTGGAGGATGGCGGGGAATGTTCCGGCTGGTATTTTGCCGTCAGTGTCGCTTGTGTGCCAAATCTAGTGACAGGCACATTTGGATCTCCGCCATATGTTTTCACATCAGCTGGGCTGGTGTCACCCACAGGCCAAAGACGACTTTAGATGAGTTTACATATACAGTATATTATTTCAGTTTACGTTAATTTTTTAATACATATATGGTTTTAAGGGCTGTTTACATGCCACTGTTTTCAATTGTATGCTTTTTTCTGCTCATTAAGCAGCCTGAAAACGCAAGCTCTTGAAATCAGGTTTTTGAAAACGATTCTGTTAACGCCTCATTGTAAACTACAAAAATGCTAAATTTGTGAAAACTAATGTGATAAACACTAAACCGAAAAAAAGAGCATTCCTATTATGTGTTCAGTCGATAGGCGTGTAGTTTCTTTACAAAGTGACATCGCCATCTACTGGCCTGGCAGCAGAATACAGCCATTTTAGTCATTTCCATGGATCCTTGTGAACAGGGATTGATTTGACAACGTTATCGCCTGTATGAGAAAAAATGACTGCATGACTTTCCTGTTTGAACTTGTTTATCAAAATGAACGAATCTTTTTTCGTGTCATTTGGTTCATTCAACGAACGAAATTAACGAATTGACTCGGGAAAAGATTTGTTCATTTTGATGAAAGATTTCGAACAGGAGAGTCACGAACGAGCATCGCAGTACAGATCAAGGCGACAATTTGAGCTTATAAAACTTAAACTTTGTTTTTTGTTTTTTTTTTTTAAAATGAGTGATTGTTTAGCTTGATAAGACCCTTATTCATCGTCTGAAATCGTTTAAAGCCCTTTGAACAGTTTGAACTGAAACTGTCTTTTGGACCTTGAACCGTTTGGTTCCCAATGAAGTCCATTATATGGAGACAAATCCTGGAATGTTTTCATCAAAAACTTTAATTTCTTTTCGACTGAAGAAAGAATGACATCTTGGATGACATGGGGGTGAGTAAATTATCAGCAAAGTTTTTTTTTTTTTAAAGTGAACTACTCCTTTAATGGCATACTTATAGCTTTCTATCCACAATAAAGACATTTACTGTCTTTAAGAGTATTTTTCTTTGCGAATGGGTGGCAGACTAGAATATAAATCCGATCTGCTGCATAGTTTTGATGCATTTCCCTAATTTTCAGTGACTCCTCCAAACCCTCCTTTAGATCGGTTTGGTCTTCCATCAAAGAGCCGTCTCTATATAGATAACAGGCCTGAGCTTTGATCACATTGATGTCTCACCTCCTGGCATAATGGAGTGTATTGTGGACATAAAGGCTGACTCTATATAGAACACAATCACCAATAGATCAGTGTCAATAAGCCAAATCCTCTTAAATCTCCCACCGATCACCAGTCCCACCTCTGAGCATTCAACTACTTTATCATAAACATTTAAGCTGCCAACAGAGACTAAGCAAACAGATCACCTCCCCTAATATTGACCTAAGCTATTGTCCCAGCCAGACTGACAATGATATTATTTCTTAGAGATGTTCTGCTAGAGATACACCTAAGGGTTTTGTTTTGCTTCATGCTCCGTCACAGACTAAAATCACTTGGTGGAATGTCCAACAGAGAGTGTTGTGAACCCAGACTCAAACACGGTGAGAGCACAAGAGTCTACAGACACTGGCTGACGCACAAAACGGTTGGGTCCTTACACATTACTTGTATGTTTTGTTCAGTAACATCAAAAATGAGGTTCGCTTTGATTTAAAACCATTTGTGGTAGTGATACTTACATGTACATTGGTTGTAGTTGCAAATGCGACGTCTTCTGTGGCCCTTGGTAACCGTATGAATCAAACCCTCCTATAAAGTCAACTAAAGAAAGGAGAGAGAGAAAGTAAGAGGAAAATGGGGGAAAAAAAACAAGAGGATTATTGAACGCTTTTTAGGGTTGTCATTCATTAAAATAAGCGCCTTTTGGTTTTGTATCCCGTGTGTGTCAGTGTGATAATCATGTGTAGTGGATGAACAGCGACCGGACCCTCTATGAGACTGATATCTTTGGAGGCCGGCTTGTGGCACTCTGCCGGTCAGATATGATAGGCTAACATAAGGCAAGCTGACAGGATTAGCCCCCCGGCCCCTCTGTGAGGGCCCGCCAGCTGTTTCAGGCCCTGGCAGACCCCAGTATCTGGGCTTTCCACAAAGATGCAAAGGTAATAAAGTGTGAGATAAAGATCCAGGCTTTGGAAATCCAAGGCTGTTTCCTAGACTAACGAACACAGGAGATAAGCTGTGGAATTAGCAGAGAGCTTCTCTTGTGCATCCCAAACAGAAGGAGAGGGGAAGACTGAAATGATTATCATTCTAGATTTTAGGGGGCATATACCTACAAATCCCCTAATCCACGTAGGTCGCATTGTTGAATTAGACCTTTGTACCGATCAGTGTTATCTGGGGACCCGCAGAGGTCAGTCGGAAAGCCTGAGGCTGTGGTGTTACAGGGCTTGAATTTTGGCGTGGGATTGCCCGTTTTGTGCATCCTTTTACTCATACCTGCAGATTTTGTGCTCACGCCCAATGTTCGCGCAAATAAAGCCGCCTCTCAGTACTAAATTGAGTTATTTTCACTGCTTATTGCGCTTAAACAGTCAAATACACACAACATAATGTCAAAATGCCGGGGTTTGCGAGTATTCACATAAACACAGTGCGAAGATGTATAACAGTATAATGGGTCCATGTGTCAGGTCTTAAAGTGACAGCAGCCTAATATACCTTATGGGATAATATTAAACATATCTAGGCCTATGTAGCAGTTTTCCCCATGGTTTCGATGTCATTTGTGATGTCACAAATCCCGCAATATCCAAAAGAGCTGTTTTTGTGAGTTGATTAAATGCTTTGATTATGTTTTAAGACATGAAACTTGCAAGATGTTTTAATGGTACAAAGACCTCTTACATGTCAAACGATCAAGGCAAACTTGATTTTATCATGTCATGACCCCTTTTAAAATGTAAATTAGAGCTGTGATCAATCTAATGCATTTTTGCTGAATAAATATATTAATTTCTGTAACATCGTACTGACCCCAAACTTTTAAATGCTAGGGTGGGGCATATAAACCCCCCCCACAAAATAACATTTAAAATGGAAAACACTGATCATATCAAAAAAGAAAATCAAGCTACGCTGCACTTCAGAACATTCTCATCTTAATGTCCTTTATAAATATATCCGCAGGGGGTAAATGTTAAAATAGATTGCCTCGAGGCAGATGTGTGCTCTTAAACAGCTTTTAAAACATTTCCCATTCCCAATGGAACAAATATCTCAAGTTGTTTTACTGCTGAAATTCCTCCTAGCTAGTCCCGCCAAGATAATGGGAAATGCTGGCATCACTGATCCAGTAATGAAGTAAAAAAAACAAAAACAACATACAAGTACTGTCAACTGTGGGCAAGCGGACAGATCGAGGGTCTATGGGCCGCCTTGAGCTACAGCATTAGCATTCAAAGACATACAGCAACCATCTCTCGACCTCAACAAAATGCCTCAAATAGCTATTTATTCTGCTTTAAGCGACACATCCCAGAAAGAAGCCATTTCAGTGGCACCGACGCTGCAGGGAATTAGGCTGAGATGGACGTTTTTTCCTCACAGACTCCATATAGCAAAGCTTTACGAGTTTTATTGTTTTGGCTTCGCCCTTCCAAAAGCTTTTCCTCCGACAAAGGCATTTGTAAACGGCACGCGGCGCACAAAGACTATCAGCATGAGTTCCCACCTCCCTGCAACCACAAAGCCTGATTGCATATCCCCAAAAGGAAAGCCCTAACCTAATTTCCTTGTTATAGATGCAAAAAGTGTTTCTCCACAACTTGTGCGCACTGACACTTCCTAATTCTCTCGCTATTGTTTTTTTTCGTTCTCTCAGAGGCAGATTCATTTAAATACTGTCCTTTCTTTAAATGGGCCCTGGGACGCTACCCTTGATAGTAGCTGTAATTACGTCCGGACCGTGTTGATTGGTTTGAGCTGTTCATTACCTTTGCGGAGGTGCTTCATGTACTGTATTAATTAAAGCGTAATGGCCAATATGGCTTCCTGATTAGTGTTTCTACATGCCTCAGGGACCAAGCCATCAATATCATTCACCTGCTTGGAGGATTCAGAGTTTCAACAATTATATTCCTCAGTAGAATCTTCCTATTGAAACATCAACAAAGCTGATAAACTTTCAGTGGACACTAAAATTGCCATGTAATCTTTCATCACCAGTGACTCAAACTGCTACCCATGGACTGATTGGGAGAGACTATCAAGAAGGATTTCCAATTACACAGATGTTCTAGAATCTCTCCTGATCACTGATTGAGGCAATCAGGAACCACATTGGACACCGGGAGCGCTGCTGAATTAAGTTTGAGGAAGTTAACCGAACAGAGTAGCGGCAGACGTTTTTGCGATGCAAAGCTTATAGCTCTTTTGACTAATCTGAGGGGATGAAATTGTTTAGTTTTTGCAAACATTGCTTAATTGGAGAGTTTTATTCATAAGCTATTCTGAATAAGGCTGTTGCACATAATCTACAAATTTCTAGGGATTCTTACTTAGGATGCTTTTCTTCACCATAGGAAGTAGATAATTTGGTTTAGCCAAAATATAAAGTAGTTCACCCAAATAAGAAAATTCTGTCAAAGTCATTTGTGTGGGGACCAAACCAAAAGTCATTATTTGTTATTCATGCCCCATGCCAACATAGACTAATGGCGTGTGGAATTGTTAAAGTCCCCGTGAAATCAAAATTGAACCTATTTACTTTGTTAGCGCATATTACTAGTCTTGTGGTGAACAATTAATCCGTGCAAGTGAATATATATGAAAAAATTTTTTTACCTTAGTAATCTTAATCAAAATCTGAAAAGTTACTTCCGGTCTGGAACGGTTTCTTTTTCTGATGACGTAGGTTTCACAGTTTGGGTGGGGAAACGCTTAACCACTCCCCTCAAACCGTTAGTTTGCTATGAGCGAGAGATGGAGAGGAGGAGCGCTAGAGTAAAACCCTGCCCTCTGTTCAATATTCCGTTTCACTTGGAAATACGTCACAGCACTGGAGAAAAATCGTTTGCAACTTCCGGTTCACGGGGACTTTAAAGGAGCTGTATGCAAGATTGTGGCCAAAACTGGTACTGCAATCACTTTCAAATTAGGGCGTATCCCAGCTTTCCCCCATGACTCGAGGTTGCCAGATATGCTGCAGGTTCCAGCAGGAATGTAGGCTGCTACAAGAAGCTTCAAATGGCAAGTGACGAGTCCTACACAGTGAGTTTTTTTCTGTTAATTATTTATTTCGGACTTTTTAACAAAGTATTTCGGATTCATATCGAGTTGTTTGGGGGTTTCGCAACGTTAGAATTTTTTTTTATCCGATTCCGACACGTTTATATCTGCAGCTGTGGTAACTAGAGAAGAGCTGGCAACCCGAATGCCGCAACATTACTGAGTCCGTGATTGGTAGATCGGTGGAGGGTGACGCATCAGAACAAAACACAACTTGACAACATCAACATCAGTCAAGGGCTACGACTTCACTTTTTAAATGACAATATCCTGGCCGTACTACTGTTGTCAGTGATATAACTAATTGAAATGAACATGATTTTTTTATTAGGGAAAATTTATGATTAATTGAAATAAATTTCTTGCATACAGCTCCTTTAATTTAGAACAAAATGAAGGTGAGTAACAAACAGTGAAATATATATATATATATATATATATATATATATATATATATAGGGGTTATATAGACTAGTTCACTTTAAAACTCTGGCAGGATGCTTTAAGCTTGACATGACTAGTCATCATTGTCCCGCATTCCCATTGGCTTGCTGGCATATGGGGGATTTCATGCACAAGGGAATCCCTTTTAATCCTTTAATTATTTAATTCCTTTCTTTTTAATTATTTATTAAATAATAAATTATATATATATATATATATATATATACATACATATATTCTTGAATGTTCTTTAATGAATATATATATATATATATATATATATATTCTTTAATGTTGTAATCAAATAAATCAAATGAATTCAGCCTTAGTGAGCATAAGAGTCTTCTTCAAAAGCATACATTTTTTAAATGCATTCAAAAGCATTAAAAAAATAATATATATAATGGATCACGCTCTGGCTTTGACCAACATCAGAATGAACTCATGCATAAAACTCAAATGCACACAAATATCCTGGACTAATAGACCATCATGCTACACTGAATGTATTCTGCCACAGGGCTCCCTCTTCGTGATCTTAACATGTAGTGAAGGCACTCCGTTTAATGAGAGGCTGGCCCTCCAAATACGGGCATGCTTAATTACATACAGAGTGAAGTTTAATGATTCTGATTACTCTGATTATGAAATGATAAAACGCTTTGAAAACACAGCACAAAGAAGGAGGATGCCTAACAAATAAACAGCCACACACACATTTTTACATGCATCTCTTTCTGTTTTAGTTGCTTGGTGATGAGAGAATGATGAGAAAAGGGGAAAAGAAGGATTGCCTCAGCAAGAGAACAACAGTATTGATCTTGTATGCCAGTGTTAGGCTGCATATGCTTTGTTTTTGTAGCTATATTCCTCAAAAGGCTCTCCCAAGAAAAAGTTGCAAGCATCTGAAGGCAAAACACAGTAAATGAATAGAGTTTCCTTATTCTGTGGAACACAAATGGGGAAATGTTGAACAGCGTAGAGCCCACTGTTTTCAATATAATGAAAGTGAAACAACAACAAAAAAAGCACCATAAAAGTATCATAAAAGCGGTGCATATTGCAAGTATAATGAAGGTATATAATTTGCATTCTCTTTTTTTGTGTTCCAAAGTAAGAATGTCATGGGTTTAGATATATATGCAAGTAAGTAAATGACCAGAATGTTTGGGTGAACTATTCCTTATACATATATTAGGGGTACAAGGGGTATTATCAACCAGTCCATTGATTATTAAGCTTTCAAATCTTTTATCAGGACAGAAAGGCGATTAAAGAGAATGATTCATGTGTCTCAGAGTGGTAAAGGCTGCAGTGGTGCAGTGTGGTCATCTGAACATTACAACAGGAACTATTTTATCCTTGATTTAAAACACTAGGGCACAGGCTGGTTGTTTAGGATCAATAAAAGCAATCTTTTAGATTCTGGAACATCTAAATTCAACTGTTTACTGGGGCATTCAAACTAGGCTAAAGATCTGTCACCAAGAGCAGGAAACAAATATCCCTCTACAATGCTAAAGGATAAAGTGCTTGCTCCATATCTGTGAATATATATATATATATATATATATATATGACCCTGGACCACAAAACCAGTCACAAGTTTTAATTTTTTAATTTTTTTAATTGAGATGATACATCATTTGGAAGCTGAATGAATAAGCTTATCATTGATGTATGGATTGTTAGAATAAGACAATATTTTTAGAGACAACTATTTGAAAATCTGGAATTTGAGGGTACAAAAAAAAAAAAAAAAATCGATACATTAAGAAAAACAACTTTAAAGTTGTCCATTAATGTTTGCGATTGAGTTACATTCACTCACAAAAATAAACGTTTTACATACTTACGGTAGGACATTTACAAAATATCTTCATGGAAAATGGAACTAAGTAACCTTATGATTTTTGTCATAAAAGAAAAATCGATCATTTTGACCCATACAATGTATTGTTAGCTATTGCCACAAATATACCCGTGCGACTTGTGCCTGGTTTTGTGATCCAGGGTCACACATATATAATATGTCAGTGAACAGGCTGTAAAACTGTTGGCTAAGTTACAGACACGCATGAAAAACTGATCCTAATTATCTGGGAATCATTCTCTAACAGCAGTCAAGTTGTCATTGTTTGTGTCAAACAAGTTGTGAATTTATTGTAACATTAAAACAGGAGATCATGACTTAGTGTTTAAAGTGATACTCGAAGCTCCGCTGCTTTCCTCTGTGGGTAAACTAAACTTTCGGAAGATGTTGTAGCAGAATCACGTCAACAATCCCAGGATATGATTTTTTTTGTCATTGGTTGTTGCGTTAAATCTTACCCAGATACAATAGTGCTCTTTTCTGATTGGCTATAGTAAAGCCCCTTTCGTTTTTTTTGATTGGGCAGGCTAGACTAAGAACTCCAGGGGAGACTGCTTGATTCCTGCCGGTTCCATAGTGAGAGCGGCGCGGCCAGATACATTTTGGGCTCTGCAGGCATATTAAATATATTATAAATATTTTTTTCACGTGAGAAGTACAATGTGTGGTGGGAGTGCGTGACATAAGACCGAAATGAGTGACTGTCACTCTCACTTGACTTGAGAGCCCATATATATATTTATAAACAATGTTATTTTAGATCTCATATTAGAAGCATGCATTATCTATTTGAGTGTAGGTAAAACCCTCATTAAAAGATTTAGATTAACAAAAACACACTCAGTTATGACTTATGAAGATATACTCACAGCTGTCCTCCTCTTCTGAAATCAGCTTCACAACATAACAGGCATAGATGAACCCAGCAAGCTGTGAAGAGAACAGAAAACAACACTGATTAGAATAATCAGCCGCCCTAATCAATTTGCCTATATTAAGGTTAAGAGTAGTGCACCAAATGGACCTACAATAATAATATTTCCCAAACAGGTTTTACAAACATTCCCATCACTACTATTGTAGGTTGACGTTGGATCAATTGAATAAAACTAGTCTCTTTTTCAAGTTTAAATACAACAAGAACACATTTCCCTATTCTAAAAAATAAAGTTTTATCTTATACAAACATTTAAAATGTAAAATTTTCTCTATCAAGAAACCGACCAAAATTATCAAGGAATCTAATAAAACGCTCTTTATAATAACAACGTCCATCCCCCAAATAATGATTTTACTTCCTCTTTTAAGCTAAAAACAAACAAAAAAAAAAAAACAGTAAATAAAACATGTTCATGTTTTGGTCAAATGAGAGAGAGAGAGTCTTTAATAAAAACAGGAGAGAATGAAGAGATGAAAGATAAAGGGAGGTAGGCATGTTTTCATTGATGAAACAGGTGTTGTACCGGCGAGAGCTTCACATCAAACTGAGACACCGCCACAGGAAATGGGTCTTTAGAGCAATGAGGACAGAGAGAAGCAGAAATGTTGGAGCCTCATCGTCTCTGTCGCTCCAAAACACACTTCTGAATCCTACAAGCACACGGATGCCCAAAGCTCCTATTTTCCAGGCTCTGAATCACTCATCAGCATCCGTGTTTAATGAAAAAGATGGTCGGTGGCACACTTGGGACTTGAACAGTGCAAGAGGTATAAATGTGAAATGAGGATGAAAAGATCTTACGAGAATATCGAGTACTGTAAACACATTTACTGGACAAACAAAAGGCTTGGATTAGAGCAGACTCTTTAAAAAGCTCAGGGAGCGCAGCTGTGCTTTTTATAAACCCTCTTCATCAGAGAGCCCTGTTGTTGTGTGTTAAACCTGTGATTTTATAGAACTGGACTGATTTGATGTCTCTGATCGAATCAAGAGAAATGATAGAGTGGGACAGCTTGAAGTCTATTCGTCTGCACCGCAAAATCAAGGTCTACAAGATCACCAAAAGATCACTTTACAGTTTTACTGATTTTTTTTGTAAAGTTATAGTGTGTGATTTTTACCCCCATCTAGTGGTGAAAAGATATATGACCATCGAGTGAATATTAGTTTCTGTTCCTCTCAATTCCGATTTCGTTTTAACTCCTACGGTGGCCAATGTAGTCCAAGATTAACATGGCTTCCAGTTCGACCTCGTCCATGAGTGTTAACTCCAACGTAAACGCGAAAGGCGAAGCTTGAATTAACGGGTGTGTCCCTCTTTGGCTAATGTACTTTCAAGATGGAGGGGCAACATGGCGACCGGTGATCTGACAATTCATGCTACCCATCGAGATTTCCTGCTTACCGGTTATGCGCATGTGCAGACTCACAGTTTTTTTTTTTTTGTTTGTTTGTTTTTTTTTTGTTTTTTTTACAAAAGGTACATTTTCCTGTTATAATGTATAATTTCCCTTTAAAAAATGCTTACTACCATATGAATATTTGTACGGTCAGCCAGCTGAAAAGGAATAACTGAAAGTTTCAGTTACTATAGACGAATCCGGCGAAACTACCGGAAGTAAGCGGGCGCCATTACTGAGCTGTTGCTGGGTAGCGTTGCGCCATTGCCTCCTATTGTTTTAGTTGCAACTTGCGTCCACTGGAATAAACAGCCCGCGATTTACGACTGTCACTAACGTTACAACGTTAGCCCTTGTATAATGTCGAGTGGGTAAACAGTTTCCGTTATAAATGGTTTCAATGGAGGCAGTAAAATTTCAATTTTGAAGAGAAAACATTGTGAATACCCCGGGTCGACTGCCCCTGTCTGGTGCCGTACGGTTTACACAGATTTCCTGGGCGAGTACAAGACGCGGACATTCGCGTATAATAACAATTATTTAATGACATAAGTAAAAAAAAATATAATAAATGTGTGATATAGTGATCAGCAAAATCTCCTCTCTTGTTATTTTTTCTATTCAATATGGTCATTAAATGGCTTTCCTGAGCTAAATATAACGTTATGTGACATAATTGTTCTCCTGCTGTTATATTGACCTCTTTCCATGGTTTAAAAACAGTAGTTGGTCGATATTATGTATACTTTCTAGCTGTAACGTTACCTTACCCTTGCCTGTTGCAATGTAAAAATGAGATAAATAATGCACACAAATGAAAAACATGAAATTGTTTATTTGATTTCATTTATTTATTTATTTATTTATTGTTGCCAAATGGACAGATCTTTTTTTAGTTTCCTCGGTAGCAAACGTTAGCCTAGCTAGCTTGCCAAGCTATTTTCATAAATAATCTGTAAGATCGTTTGTACCTTCATCTGTGACTGGAGGCCAATGTCTAACATCATCAACCCAACAAGTCTGCCTGGCTGTAGCTGTCATCAAGGGTGCGTTATCACCTTATCTCCGAGGTTTGTTTACATACCGGTGCATATGTCTATGCCGGTGTAACAGCTCAGTAATGGCGTCGCCACAAGATGGCAGCCTACACAAGAACGCTCGTCGGATTCGTCTATAAGAAAATGTGTACTTTGACAAGTCAAAGATGAATATTTTATGATAATTTTTACTTTTCACACCGTTTTAAAATAAAAACAGTAGTCTACAGTATACAGTAGCTACTCATAATAACTTAGAATTGTATTACAATTGTATTTCATACGACTTTAATCGGCATTCTGTGATCAATTCGCGCTACGGTAGCATTTTTCGACAAGGCAGCAAAAATCGACAGAACACCGGCATTAGAACCCCTTACCCGTATGTATTTTCAATGGCATATTATACACTCACGAGAATACTTTATTATTTGAACAAAGTAAATATACATTAATGAGTACATACAGTATATTTTTGAAAGAACTAAGTGTTTTTAGCTAAGAATAAACTAAAAGAGTTACACAGTGTAGCTTTAATGATTAGACATATCAAATGATTTTTGTTACAATATATCGAGTCCTTGCTGAATAAAAGTATCAATTAAAAAAGACAAATTCAAACCAATCAAAGCACTTTCACTATGGACTAGAGAGACACCAAAATGGTATGAGAAAGTAACACAAAATAACCTTTACGCAACATTTTATGTTTAAAAGTAATTTTCCTCAACAGTGGCCACAGTTGTGCTTAGAGTAAATGTACTTTGACATACTCCTAAAAAGACCACCCAGACTTGAGCTTATAATTAAGAGGCTGAACGCCATTTGCTTTTCTACGAGATACAAACTCGTGTCCCCTCAGGGGATGCTCTAGAATGCAGCCGTGTTTACAAGAGTGTTTAAGTATCGTCATTTCTTATCATTTGAGCAGTTCATTTAACTAAACTCACAGAACAAACTGTCCAGGACTGCATTCCCGGTCCAATCCCTCCAGATAATCACAGTGCGGCAGCAAATGGGAGGATTTAGGATTCCGAGAATACCTCAAGGTCTTGCTCTCATTTACACGGAATAATGTACCACTCCCTCCTCCTTCCCAGCGGCAGTGGAGAGCATGAGGCCGCACTCACACACATGCAATCCGTACCCAGACAGGGTCATTTACATAATACCGCACAGCTATGTGAAGGACGAGGGCCCAATGTGGTGTCACCTCGGCTCAACGCGTAATGGGCCAGACGGTATTCTGGTTCCCAGTTCCTTGGATACAGCAGGCAGCATGGATGAGGAGACAATGGAGGCGGCTAGCAGCCAGCATCGGTGTGTTTGTGTGGGGAAAGGGTTCAACATACACAATACAGGCTGCTCTTTTGATTACCTGATGCTATCATCCGCCCAATGTGTTTGCAAAAGATGTAAACCAAATTAGCTGTGCGACAAAGAGGAGAGAAAAAGACTTGGAATGGAATGGTGGGAAACTGTTTACTCCAATATGGCAAAAAAAAAAAAAAATAACATGCTAAATTACAGCATGGCTAAAGGAAATATACAAATAAAATGTAATGTAGAACCTCAAATATCAAAACATACTTCAAAATGTAGTTTTAGACCAGAAAAACATTTCCAATATGAAATTACATTTCGGAAAAATATATACAGTATATTTTGTACAAATAAAAAGATACAACGAAAACATGTTTATGTAAATATATTACTACTCAAAGCATGAATTACTATGAAATACTAGACAAAAATACTTACGATGTAAATGGGAGGCCAAGTAAAGCACAATGCATTGTGGGATACATATTCCACACACTGTAAAAAGTGATCAGCTGACTTAAAAAAAATGAGAATACGAGCTGCCTTAAAATTGTTAAGATAACAAAATATATGCGTAATTAAAAAGATATGTTAAGTTGACATGCATTACCGCATTTTTTCAGTTACAGTATGCATGACGTTTATTATTAAGTAAGTTAAGTGAACTGATCGCTTTTAACAGTGCACTCCACTGTCATCTGGATATTCCACACATGTAGAAAACTTAAGAGATTGCAAAAATGAGTAATAAGAAATGAGAGTAAGAGTTGAATGATAGTGCGCTACTAGCTCTCTCTCTCTCTCACACGCGCGCGCGTTGTTGTATTGTGTACCCTCTTCCTCTGCCATGTCATTCCCAATAGACAAGACTAAATTTAGATTCTATACATGTGAATAATACATGCAGGGTTTCTAAAGAGGTGCTAAATAATTGAAGATGCGTCTGTGAGCAAAGGATTGATCTCGATGCAAGTGTCTTAAGGTTGAACCTCACATATAAGCTTGCTCATTCTTCATGGCCTGCAGTTTCGATTAACGAGTTTTAATGTTTAATATGTTTATCTTCAAAGCATGGAGCAACTCGATTCACTTCTATTTGGAAAAAAAAGGCATTAGCATGTTAGAACGCAAATGTTATTGAAGCTACTTTGTACATCCGCTACAAAGACTTACACAGAAACAGGCTACATGTCTTACATGACAGAAGAGCAAACTTGTGTGTGCTTGTTA